GAAACAGCAGGAGAAGGGCCCCCGCCCCTGCTCCGCCAGCCCCCTCCTCCTCCCCAGACACACCTGCAAGCCAGCGAAGGTCAGGGGGACGCCCTTCCTCTGGAACTCCTGCAGCAGGTCCGCCAGCCCCACGGCCACGGTGTAATCCACGCTGCTGAGGTGAGAGCCGTCCAGGATGACGCCGCGCGGCGGAGACACTGAGGGCGAGAGGGCCATGCGGTCACTGCGCTGGCGTGCCCAGCGGGACGTTCCCCAGCGGGACGTTCCCCGCCCCCGGGGTAGGGCCCCAGGCAGGGGCAGGGCCGACTTATCCATTAGGCTCAGTAGGCACAGTGCCTAGGGCCCACGATACCGTGAGGGGCCCACAAAAATGTTTTAATTTCTTATAAAATCAGAAGAAAAAAAATGAACTTTTGGGGTCGAAGAAAATGTTTTAATTTTTTTCTCACATCAGAAAAAAAATGAAACTTTTAGGGCCCACGAAAGCCTAGGACATTTTGCCTAAAACAGAAAAAAAAATAAAATGTTGACGTCTTTAAAGTTATAGAAAAAATCATTTTTAATTTTTTATGGAGGAAGGGGCCCACGACGGCAAAAGTGCCTCGGGCCCACGAAAGTCGTAATGCGGCCCTGGGCAGGAGCCCAGCTTTGTGGGGCTGGCAGCAGCTGGGAGCCCTTTTTAGCCAGACCTCAGCCGGTCTGGCCCACCCGGCCAGCCCTTCACGCTGCCAGCGCGCCGGAGGCCCCACACGCAGGGTGAATCCCAACTAGGGCTCTCCCGAGGTCTCTAGGGGCGTCTCAGGGTCATAGGTGGTGTCAGAATCAGCTTCGTGGCTCTGAATCTGGGGCTGCGACTTGAACCTCTTTAATCCAGCAACCTCGGGAAACAGGCCGTGCCGGACTGTGGAATTTTCCAGACCAGGGGGGTTCGCCATAATGAAGGGCTCTGGGGGTGCGAGTGCAGGATCTAGGAGGGTGCAGGAGCGCTCTGGGCGTGGGTGGCAGGTGAAGGCCCAGCTGGGGAAGGCAAGCCCCTCCCCTGTCCTGACTGCCTGAGGCCCCGCCCCTGCAGCAAAGCCCC